TTTACAAGACTGAAATAAAATAATAGAACAACAACCCTCTCATTTTATAAATACAAGGTATCTCGAACCCCTTTTACCATCAACTCAATCAAATTTAAAAAACCATCAAAACCAATCAAAATATTTATTCCGAAATATTTGGCTTTACGATTAACAAAAAAAAACTCGCGCTTCTTAAGCGCGGGTCAAAATCTAGTGATATTTATAATAATTGTTCTCTTAACATCTGTGTTGATATATATAATTATCATATATGTGATAACAAGTTAGACTAAATGCATGGTAACAATCAATTTGGTGGTATGTAAAGAACAGCAACCTGATTTTTGGTCATGTTAACTCCATTTCTTCAATTTGTAATTAATATATATCATGAATAACCGATAATTCGATAACTCTTAATTATATGTGAAAAAAGTCTCTAACTTTTTTATTCTGTGTTTTTTTTCTTCTTTTTTTCTTATATTGCATTCAACACTCTTGGATACTGCATTGTAAATTTATCTCTACTTGCTCTTTTTTTTGCTACTGGATTTAGGATATATTTCTGGCCGGAGTAAACACAAGTGCGACAACCATACTTTGGGCAATGACAGAGCTAATAAGACATCCAAGTGTGATGAAGAAAGTACAACATGAGGTTAGGACAGTACTTGGTGAATCAAGACAGAGAATCACAGAAGAAGATCTTAACCAACTTAACTACTTCAAGCTTGTAATTAAAGAGACATTCAGATTACACCCGACAGCTCCACTTTTATTACCAAGAGAGACAATGTCACCAATCAAGGTTCAAGGCTACGACATTCCCACAAAAACACAGATCATGATCAACGTTTACGCGATAGCACGCGATCCAAAACTTTGGGAGAATCCTGATGAGTTTAAACCTGAAAGATTTAGTGATAGTTCTGTTGATTACAGAGGATTAAACTTTGAGCTTTTACCCTTTGGCTCTGGTAGAAGGATTTGTCCAGGTATGACAATGGGTATCGCGATGGTCGAACTAGGATTGTTGAATTTGCTTTACTTCTTTGATTGGGTTCTGCCTGAAGGGACAACAGTGAAAGATATCGACATGGAAGAAGAAGGTGCTGTTATTATTAGCAAGAAAGCTCCTCTTGAACTTGTGCCAATTCGTTCCCGTTGAACGAATTGAAGA